GAAATAAAAGATTTCGATTGACAGTTATAATATTGCAATAAAAAAAACTGGTAATTGAACGAAAAATGAAAGAGCAGTTGAATTCAATTCCTTTACTTTACTTTACTTTACTTTACTTTACCATAAAACTCATCTGTTTTTCATTTCATTTCATTTTTCAACTTCAATCTATTCCCATTTTCATTTCATTTAATCATCGGAGAACGTGAGTTGGAGAAAAGTTTTTTTTAATCAGTTAAAAACGACGACGTTCTCTTTTTCTATTCAATGAAAATTCCCCATCAAAAGAAAAACTATTCTAGAGTTATTTTCTAATTCTTTAATTTCTTTAAATTCTTTAATTTCTTTAATTTCTTTAATTTCTAATTCTTTAATTTCTTCAATTTCTAATTCTTTCTAATTTTCTAATTTCTTCTTTCTTTTATCCAAATTTCCCTTTTGCTCAAAATTTCAGAAACATACCCTTTCTGGGGCATTCGATTTCTGATTTTATAGAGTCATAAGCAGATCGTTTATGAGCTCGCGTCATTTGACGCATCACTGACTGTAAGCAATCTGAGTTCAGTGCATCAGAAGTGGGCTCATTTTCGTTTTTTTGAAAGCACATGAGAGTAAAGCTTTATCTAGTTATCTTGTAGCTCTCAAGATTGATATTCGATTGATATTCGATTAATCTTCGTCGATTGATATTTCTCTCGATTTCTCTCAAGATTTGTTTTAAGGTTCACTTTATCACGAAAATCGTGGAAAAATGGACGTCGTTCATGGGATGTTCCGAGCTTTGCGCACTCGTCGTTTAGCCAGAGAGCAATATTCTTTTGAGTTGCTGAAATCGAATTCAGCGCAAGATTTTCGCGATTCGCACGAAATGCCGCGTTTCTCGTCACAACACGAGAATTTGAGGCTCGGAGAGATGGAGATGAGTGGAAAAGAAGTGAACAAATCACAGAGTGATTCACGCGGTTCACCGAAACCCGTTTATGGATCGTTTCGGAGAACGTTGACGGGTTTCGGGCGATCAAAGGAAAGACAATCGCCGAGGGGACGATCATTGCACAGATCGGCCACCGAGGGCCCGCAGAGGAATCGTTTAGCTGTGCAACAGGCGCCACTGAGACAGGTTTGCAAATGATTCAGAGATTCGATCAGATTTCCAGAGATTTTGGGACTTTTCCCTTAAAATCCTAAATTCTCAACTCCAATTTACTTGATCATTGCACTGCTCTTTTATAGAAAAGCAAATTTTCCATGATCAAGAGCGTTCTTTTAAGTGAAAACTTGAAAAAGCTAATTAAAATGCTTTGCTTTTGCATTTTCCTCAGTTAATCCTTTTATTTTTCCATAATCAATTTATTTATTTAGACGTGTAAATGTAAAAAGCGTGAACTCGAATTTCCCATTTCCTTTTCTTATTTTTCTATGCATTTTAACCTATAAACTATTGGGGGGAAATCCTTTTTGCCTTCAACAATTCCGCCCGGAAATCGCGCATTAAGTGCACTGAGATTTCACCGAGACAACTTTGAATTTGGAATTGGATAAAAAGAGAAGAACTTTTTCTTTAGAAAGACGATTTTTTGATTAATAGGAAATTGAGGAGGGTGAGAGAAAAGAGAAAAAAAAACAGATAAAATGGTTTTTATGTGGTTTTTAAGTCGATTTAGATGTGATATGTTGATAATTTTACAAGCTGATTTCCGATTACCTACTTTTTGTCTTTGAATTATTGAATTATTTGAAAATATTGGAATTAAATCTAAATTAAATGTATCAATTCAAGTACATTAATAATAGATGGTGAGTCAGATCGCATTGTTTCATCAGTTTGGCTGCTGTTTAAGTATAACAACCGCAAATCGCTGACCTCTCCTTCTCTTTAACGAAACGAAAACGGAAATCCCTTATGCTAACGCCGTTTGCCAGATGGAGAGCGATTGTGGGCGCGCACAAAGAACACCAGTCAGGATTTTGTTTTCCTTTGTAAATGGCCTAAAAAGAAGATATTCAGCTGTGAATTGTAATTGTAGCCGGGTTTTCAGGGTTAGCCATCGATTGAAACTATTTATTTACCAAGCTACCAATTGGAACTGGCTTAATTGCTCTAAACTTTTCGATGAATTCAGAAACGTCTACTTTAAAGAAGCCCTTTTCATTTCAAATTTCATTTCTGGTTAAAAAAGAGTCAAGCTTTTTCCGACAATAAGTAGAGCTCTGTTCTTTTATTCTCATAAAACATGCATTCATTGTCCACACAAACGATTCACAATTGCTTTACTTGCTTTCCCTCAATTTTTGATCTCATTCTGTCATTCAGAGCTATTTTCAACGAAAAACCCCACCAATTTTCTTTTTTTTCTTATTTAAATCGATAATTTAAGTGATTATTAGCTTCTTTTAATTGTAATTAATTTAATTTAAACTTTATTAAACTCAAAAATATGGGGTGCTTACTTTGTGTCTCGCCTTGTGTCTCGCCTTGTGTCTCGCCTTGTGCCTTGCGCCTTGTGCCTTGCGCCTTGTGCCTTGCGCCTTGTGCCTTGCGCCTTGTGCCTTGCGCCTTGTGCCTTGCGCCTTGTGCCTTGCGCCTTGTGCCTTGCGCCTTGTGCCTTGCGCCTTGTGCCTTGCGCCTTGTGCCTTGCGCCTTGTGCCTTGCGCCTTGTGCCTTGCGCCTTGTGCCTTGCGCCTTGTGCCTTGCGCCTTGTGCCTTGCGCCTTGTGCCTTGCGCCTCGTCATAACTTTCTTCTAAGCCGGTCAATCTTTACCATTTTGATGTCATTTTGTTATACTTGTTTAGATCTACAAAATGACACCAAAATGGTAAAGATTGGCGAACCTAGAGGAAAGTTATGGTGAGTTGCGCAAAGTAGCCAATCCTCAAAAATAAGCATGACTTTCTAGATAAAGATGGGTAAAATAATTTTATATTTTGCATTGACTGAATATCTTGTTTAGATCTTTTGCTCAAAAAGCATTTGCTTTCAAATTGAAATTCAAGCCGACCCATTAGTGCTTTGAAAGGAAAAATGTATGTGGGTTTTTGTTTTGTTTTTTTTTTCCTCATTCATTGCCCATTTAAAGACGAAGGATTTGATTGCGGAATTTCAAAAAACATTGTGTTCTAAATGCTGCTAGAGAATGGTATGTGTTACATTGAAAATCTTAATTAAATTAAGTGTTACACCTTTGCCCGTTTTTTTATAAATTAAGTTTTACAACCTTAAAATTACCGTCTCTTTTCTTATCGACCTCTTTTATCGTTAAATTTCTGGAAAAAATTTAGTGCACTAGAGCTAGAGTTAGTGCTGCGTTTGAGCTTATAAAAATCCCTATCTTTTTCACTAATCCATTTGGTAATTTGATAGGATTTTAAGAGTTTGTGCAGTGCGTGAGATGGGGCAATGATTTTTACCGATGGGGTACCGATGGGGCAATGATTTTTACCGATGGGGTACCGATGGGGCAATCATTTTTACCGATGGGGTACCGATGGGGCAATCATTTTTACCGATGGGGTACCGATGGGGCAATCATTTTTACCGATGGGGTACCGATGGGGCAATCATTTTTACCGATGGGGTACCGATGGGGCAATCATTTTTACCGATGGGGTACCGATGGGGCAATCATTTTTACCGATGGGGTACCGATGGGGCAATCATTTTTACCGATGGGGTACCGATGGGGCAATCATTTTTACCGATGGGGTACCGATGGGGCAATCATTTTTACCGATGGGGTACCGATGGGGCAATCATTTTTACCGATGGGGTCCCGATGGGGCAATCATTTTTACCGATGGGGTACCGATGGGGCAATCATTTTTACCGATGGGGTACCGATGGGGCAATCATTTTTACCGATGGGGTACCGATGAGGCAATCATTTTTACCGATGGGGCAATCATTTTTACCGATGGGGCAATGATTTTTACCGATGGGGTACCGATGGGGCAATGATTTTTACCGATGGGGTACCGATGGGGCAATCATTTTTACCGATGGGGTACCGATGAGGCAATCATTTTTACCGATGGGGCAATCATTTTTACCGTTGGGGCAATCATTTTTACCGATGGGGCAATCATTTTTACCGATGGGGCAATCATTTTTACCGATGGGGCTATCATTTTTACCGATGGGGCTATCATTTTTAGATATTTATTCCGAATATAGCAGACTAATCTAGCGAGAAAATATAATAAAATAGAATCAATCGTTGCTTTCAGTGTTTCAGAGCCAAAGAAATTGCTATTGCTTTTCTTTTGCCAAAGAAAAGCAATACAAAGTGGGCTCCGCCCCTTTTGTATCACACAAACGATCTTTAGGGAAAGGACAAGAGAATCAGAGATATTCAAAATCAAAACATCAAATAAGCTTTCACAGAAAAGAGCTACTTTTCTGCACAGAGTTCGAAAAAGTTAATTTCTATCTTTTTTCTACATTATATTGACTACTTTTAAACTTATAAAACAAAGCTTTTGAACATTCATCTTTTTCATTTCATTCTATCATTTCATTTACATCTTTTTCTTCTTTACAAAGTAAATCAAATTTTAAACTCAGTTAGCTATTTGAGCGCACTTAAACGATTGCTTTTTAACTCCAAAAGCTTGCCTACTTTTGTTGCCAAGGTAAAGCTTGACATCTGAACCCGGATGCGAGGAATTTCCTGTTTTTTTTTTCCTCTTTCCTGAAGTAAGGGAATAAGAATTTTTTGGCATTTCCAGTTAAAACCAGTAGCACTTCCTGTAAGTGTCTTTTTGGGCCTTTTGGGCCTTTTGGGCCTTTTGAAAGGCCCAGCCCACTCTGAATTTTTCTTCGGATAACTTTACCCTCAATTTTATTTACTACTTTTTGTTTGGAAGATTCGATTTTGCAAGCACTTCCATTCCTACTTCAAATACCCGAATTTGGCTCAATTTGGTTGTTGATCGAATTCCCGTGACCGGCTTTTTCTTACTTTGAAACAGAAAGAATTGTCGATCAGTGACATTTTGAAAGATGTTTCGAAATCGAAACATTCCAGCAGTTTATATTCAGGTACATTGAGAATTTAGAATCAAAAATTAGCTTAGATATTTATTTAGAATCAAAAATTAGCTTAGATATTTGTCAATTTTGATTAGATATTTATTTAGAACTAAGTTCCCAGTTGTTTATTCAAAGTGAGAGTGATAAGTGTTAGAGTACTTTTTGAGACTTCTCCAAACGGTTTGACGATCAACTGGAAGCTTTAGCTGGGCTTTAGCTCAGCTTTGACTCAGCTGGGCTTTAGCTGGGCTTTGACTGGGCCTTAGTTGGGCTTGAGTTTGAGTTTGGAAGCCAAGTTTTGGGTTTGAGGACAAATTCAGAGTCAGTCATTAGTCTTTTTAACATTTAATTGTAAATAGTAAGAGGATTTGAGTAAATTTACAATAAATTCGGCATCATCTTATAAATCTCATCAATCTTTTTTCTTTTCAGAAATCCGAAGAAACGATTGATTACTCGGGTTGTTCGTCGTCGATGAGTGATGTGTCAGTGCTGCTCGGTTTCGTTCACTCCGATGGTCCGTACACTCCATCGTGTTCCGGATTCTCGTGAGTTTAGTTGACAATAGATGGGGCTACGAATACAAAACATGATTGGGACCGGGTTTCGAGCTTGGTGGAATTACAAGGCTCAATAAAATGATATGAAAATTGGACATCGTCGATGAGTGATGTGTCAGTGCTGCTGGGTTTTGTTCATTCCGATAGTCCGTACACTATCGGGTTCCGGATTCCCGTGAGTTTAGTTGACAATAGATGGGGCTAGGAATACAAAACATGATTGGCACCGGGTTTCGAGCTTGATGGAATTACATGGAAATTACAAGGCTCAATAAAATGATACGAAAATTGGACAGTTTTACAGCGATATTTTTGCTTAAATAGATCCCTTTTCGATCCCCATCTGAACATTGGGAAAAAGTGCTGGTGCTCGCGAACCTCGGCGAACGCTCGGCGAATGAGCGACAGTGACACGTATCCCATTGTTGCCGTCATTGCTTTACTTATCGTCTTTACTTGACTTTTCCAAACACTTTTCAACATCATTTCATTTAAATATAACTTTATTTCAAGCGCTTTCACATAAAATATTTCGAACTTGATGAGTTTTATAAGATTTTTTTTGTTTATAAATAGCTGTTTGGTCTGTGAGCTTTCAGAAAATAGAGAATACGTTTAAATAAAGATAACTTGTTAGTACTGGTGTTGAATCTCAGATCCTTATGGATGTTTTCGAGAATCGAAATTTACATTTCCACTTCAAAGCTTTTCTGGAATGGGTGTTGATTTCAAGATTTCAGTGTTGAAAGTAGGATTGGACTTTCGAGGGAAAGGTCGGATGAGAATAACAAGTTGAACTTTTCTAGGTGGTAAGCTTGAAGAAGTTGAACTTTGCTAGGTGAATAAAGTGGTAAGCTTGAAGAAGTTGAACTTTGCTAGGTGGTAAGCTTGAAGAAGTTGAAGTTTGCTAGGGGAAAGAAGCGGTAAGCTTGAACAAGTTGAACTTTGCTAGGTGAATAAAGCGGTAAGCTTGAAGAAGTTGAACTTTTCTAGGTGGTAAGCTTGAAGAAGTTGAAGTTTGTTAGGTAAATAAAGCGGTAAGCTTGAACTAGTTGAACTTTTCTAGGTGCTAAGCTTCATTCTCTAGCAATATTACAGTAATAATATTCTAGTTACAATAAGAAATTGAGCCAATCTGTAGACACACTTTTCTTGCAGTCCTACGAGTTTTGAGATTACAAAAAAAAAATTGTGTCTACAGATTGGCTCAATTTCTTATTGTAACTATAATATTGTAACTATGTAACACTATCTCTTGCCATCCTTATACTCAAACATCCACCCTCTAGTGTACTAGATTCAGCTTTTGAGTGCACCAGAAAGCGTGCGTTTAAATGAAAAGGCTTTGCCTGGTAAAGAAACTCCTTCTAGAACACTGTTCAATACTTGAAATTTCTATTTTTCGTCAAGTATAGCTTTCACAAGATACCAAAAAAGGGAAAGACGTCAGAGAAAGACAATAAAACTTTTGGCTTTCCAATTTTCTTCGATTCAAAAAAAGCAAAAGGCATTTATCTATTGTTTTCTTCTAAAAATAAAACGGATTTACGCCTTTTGATTTGTTTTTATTTGGGAATGGGTCATTTTTTCTTTTCCTTTTCACTTTTTCTTTCTCAAAATAACCTATGGGGATTTATTTTCGACTCTATCTTTTCTCAGTTTTCTTTTCTTTTCTTCAAGGATTTCCATCTGAAAAGAAACGCCAAATGTGAGCTGTTTTTCCGTTTGCGTAAACATTTTTGCTCAAACAGCTCACATTTGCGTTTCTTTTCAGCTGGAAATCCGTTTGCGTAAACATTTTTGCGCAAAAAGACAACGGGAATTTTTGGGGATGAGAAGTTGATTCGAATAAACTCCAAGGATTTTGGGATTTTGGGATTTTGGGGATTTTTTCGGCTGGTGAGTTTAATCCTTTAGTATCAGGCGCATCGGATTTTTGTGAATCATCTAATTGTATCATCTAATCATCTAATCAAAATCAAAGAAATTCTACAACATTTGAATGGTATTTGGAAAGAAATTTCAGAGCTAATGCCATCACCCTTATTGACTGGATTGTCAAGGCTGCTTGATTTATTCACACAAATTATATAGTACAAGCAATACACAAGCACAATCTTTAAGTCCTAAATCCAAGGAAGAGCCATATAATCGAAAAAAAATAGGAAGAAGAGGCTCAGGGGATTGAACCCTCGACCTCCCGACTATAATAGACGACTCTTAGCCAGTCGGCCATGACCGGCTTTGTCGAGCGCCTTTTTAAAAAGATGTTATTCACCGGGTCATTGAAAAATTGCCTTAACTTAAGAAGAGATTTTAACGTAAAAATATTCATGAGTTTATGTTTTTGATTTTTTTTTAGTTTTCTCAAAATGGCTTCAGAATTTTGAGCTTATGCCCCTTCAGATAGCTGTAGAGCCGGAGTACGTTTAGGGATTTCATTCAAAAGATGGGAAAACTCATTTTTGGTGTCTTGTTCTTTCCTTCAAACTTTTTTTTTCAACCTTGAGACGTTCCAAAAATCAACGAAATTCCCTTTGCCAGGAAAAGAAAAAAACAAAATTTGCATGCAAATCCAGTGAAGAGAAGAAAAAAAGTGAAGAGGTCACCGGATCTTTAAGAAATTCACGGAACTTCTAGAAAAGAAAAGCTCAGTTTTTTTTGGACACAGTAGTTGAGGACAAATTTAGAGTCAGAGCAACAGAGGCAACAAAATTAAGAAGGTGTTGAAAGTGTGGTTGGTATTATATAAAAAAACGGCTCTGATGACGCTAGTAGATCCAAACTTTTGAGTTTGATAGCTCATTTGATAACTTAATAGGTAAATTAACCAGTAGGGAGTTTTTAAAATTCATCAGGATCACTTATACTTTGATGTTCCTTTCTGCTTCTTCAGTGTTTTCAAATTGCCCTTTGTGCTTCAAAAAAAAGTGCAAATCATACCCTTTCTGGTGCATTGAATTGCCCATTTTCTTACTGAGGTTCGTAATGTTGATATGAGTTGAAAGCAAAGAAGTAAACGGGTGTTTTTCTACTTTTAAATAGCTCAAAATACATGAGGCAAGTCTAGAAGAGTCGCCAGACGCTTCTGCTTACGGTATGACTTTAAAGCTTATCGCTTTACCTAGAAAAGTTTAACTTCTTCAAGCTTACCGCTTTATTCACCTAGAAAAGTTCAAGTTGTTCAAGGTTACCGCTTCTTTCACCTAGCAAACTTCAACTTCTTCAAGCTTACCGCTTCTTTCACCTAACAAACTTCAACTTCTTCAAGCTTACCACCTAGAAAAGTTCAACTAGTTCAAGCTTACCGCTTTATTCACCTAGCAAAGTTCAACTTGTTCAAGCTTACCACTTCTTTCCCCTAGCAAACTTCAACTTCTTCAAGCTTACCGCTTTATTCACCTAACAAACTTCAACTTCTTCAAGCTTACCACCTAGAAAAGTTCAACTTGTTATTCTCATCCGACCTTTCCCTCGAAAGTCCAATCCTACTTTCAACACTGAAATCTTGAAATCAACACCCATTCCCGAAAAGCTTTGAAGTGGAAATGTAAATTTGGATTCTCGAAAAAATCCATAAGGATCTTGTTTTGGTAATAGCTCTCGAAATATCAAGAAATTGTTTTAAAAAAAGGAAAAGAAGCTGTAAACGGAACTGATTCTCTCTGAAACAAGCCCCGCCCTTTCTTCAGGACTCCCCCGAGGGTTTTTCTAGCGAACGGAACTCCCATTCAGAAGATATTTCCCGGGTAGACAAGTACTCAAAAAAAAGGTCCCCTTCACATCCATCCACACTTTACTAAACTCCAACTCCAACTCCAACTTCAACTATATATCTCAAAATCTCAAAAATGAGACGATTCTCGCTCGAATTCCAGCATAGTGTTGATCACTTTATGCGATATTTACGGTTAGGCAAATTTTAGATTTTGCAGTTCGACTAGAAGTTCAGTTTTTTTGGACCTAGTTTTCTGCAATAAGATCACAATAAGTTCTAGACAAGACTAGACTAGACACTTGTCTTAGACAAGAACTAAAAAGCTATCTAAAGACCTAGGGTTTACTAACTTTAATGCCATTTGTGATCAAATTAACGTTTAGTTTCTCATCTGAAGACTCAACATACGAGAAAGCTGTCTCCGAGTGTCATTCGATTAAAGAAAGTTCACTCTTCACTGAGGGTCTTCTACTTAAATGTATCGATTTGAAGCGTGAGTTATTCAGAATTTTCAAGATTGATTCTAGCTTGATTTTTCATTTTGATCGTTTTCATCGTTTCATATAGTTTTTCCAATCAAAACAGAATTTTGCAGAAACAGAATTGCCATTTTTTATGCGCTTTTTGCAAGTGGTTGTGACTAGAAATTTTATGAGCACGGGCGATTTGAGAAAACGGAAATCTCAAAGGTTTTGTGTGCATTTCAAAGTAAAATGGGATCTGTTCGCGACAAAAAGCTTGACAAGGGACACCGGAAGTATTGTTGAAAGAAAAGAAACGATTTTAGCATTTTGGCAATGGCTATAGTTTGGTTTTTATTTTGAATGTGAAAAAAAATGAAAAATATAGTTGTAGGTGAAGAATTTTAAGTGCTTTTCGATTATTTTAAAGAAAATTTCGAAAAAAAGAATGTTCTAATCGAGCCTAGAGTCTTTCCAGTCAGTCAAGGAGCAAGTTTTCTGCCAGTTTGTGCCAACAAGTTTAGCCATAATCTTTTTGAACTAAATTAAAGTGAGAAGTTGAGCTTAAACATCGCCCTTTTGTGTACTAGAAAGTGTTTTCTTCAGACTACAACTACTTTAAATAACTTTAAATAACTTTAAATAACTTTAAATAACTTTAAATTACTTCAAATTACTTTAGATAACTTTAAATTACTTTAGATAACTTCAAATAACTTTAAATAAACTTAAATAACTTTAAATAACTTTAAATTACTTTAAATTACTTTAGATAACTTTAAATTACTTTAGATAACTTTAAATTACTTTAAATAACTTTAAATTACTTTAAATAACTTTAAATAACTTTAAATTACTTTAAATTACTTTAGATAACTTTAAATTACTTTAGATAACTTTAAATTACTTTAAATTACTTTAAACAATCTTCTCTTCAGCCTTAATCTATTTACTTATAATACTTTCAATAAAGTTTCTGAATTCCACCGAAAAAAGAAAAAAGTGGAAAAGGATTCAAAAAAGGATTACTTTTCTTGTTCACTGGAGATTGTCAACAATAGGAGCGCGTTACGAAACTAGGCAAAGCTGCTGGAGGATTCTGGAACACCATGAGATTCTCAAAAAAACAGCAGAACTCAAAAAAACACTAGTTTTTTTTTTTCTAGAATCGTCTAGTTGACCAATGTTTTTTTTTCTTCTTGTTCACTTGAAATGAAGTGGAAAATCTTTTCATCTCCAATCTCGATGAGTAACAAACCAAAGCCCAAGCAAATCTCTCCTTATTCTGAGCTAAATTTAGATGAAAGTATCCAAATTTCGAGTTCAGTTCTTTCTGAATAAGTTACTGAATACTTTAATTTTTCTCGAAAATCCCTCAAAAATCTAAGTTCTAATTGTCTAATACAAAGTATTCAAAGGTTCTTTTGAAGATTTGAAGATTATCTATTCATTGTTGAAGATTTGATAGAGCTTGAATTATGACTAGTAAACTAGTAAACCTAGTAGACCTAGTAAACCTAGTAGACCTAGTAAACCTAGTAGACCTAGTAGACCTAGTAGACCTAGTAAACCTAGTAGACCTAGTAAACCTAGTAGACCTAGTAAACCTAGTAGACCTAGTAGACCTAGTAGACCTAGTAGACCTAGTAGACCTAGTAGACCTAGTAGACCTAGTAGACCTAGTAGACCTAGTAGACCTAGTAAACCTAGTAGACCTAAAGCTAGTAAACCTAGTAGACCTAGTAGACCTAGTAGACCTAGTAGGACCTAGTAGACCTAGTAGACCCTAGTAGACCTAGTAGACCTAGTAGACCCTAGTAGACCTAGTAGACCTAGTAGACCCTAGTAGACCCTAGTAGACCCTAGTGGGCCTAGTAGACCTAGTAGACCTAGTAGACCTAGTAGACCTAGTAGACCTAGTAGACCTAGTAAACCTAGTAGACCTAGTAGACCTAGTAGACCTAGTAGACCTACTAGACTAGTAAACCTAGTAAACTTCCTCAAACAGCAATCATCTGAAACATTTAAATTCTTTCACTAGAAAAGAATTCGGCGAATTCTCCCTATTCATTGAAGAGTCTAATTTTAGGACATAATTCAATGGGATCATTTGAGTGTGGGTGTAACCCAATTGCCGCTTTCTTTCTCTCTTTCTCTTTCTCTCTCTCTTAGAGCTCCAATTTTTTAAAATTATTTAAAAAACAATTCCCCAGATATTTTTGGTGTGATAACGTAAATAGATGTGAAAACGAAGAAGATTTTACCTCAAAATCCCCTCCAATAATCGAGGGATTTTTGATTTCAATCTTACTTCATCAAAATCCAAACCAAACGAATTTCTTTTCTGGGTGATAAAAGAGAAATTTGATCTGAGAAAGGTTTTCGCAAGGATTTCTCGGGGTCACATTGGGATTTAGTTTGGGAAATTTTGAAAATGAACAAGGGAAAAGCTTTTTGATCAAAGATCTTTTTCTCAAGAATCGAAAATTTTGTTCTTAAAAGATTGAAGATTTCGAAAGAAAGCTAATTTTTGGTTTTTGCGAAAGTTTGAAAATGAGTATGGAAACGATTGTGCGCCTGTGATTTTCCCACAAGAGCTAAGAATGAAAATTTTCGTTTTTTAGTGGTTAGTGATCGAAAGGAGTTCTTGTTTTTGAGTGGTTTACGTTTTGAAATTCGTTTTGGAAAAAGATATGAAGTTCTTTTTTGATTCTGTTCTCGATTTTGAGTCAAACATTGAAGATTTTATTGTTGAAAGATTGAATTTTAAGTTTGGATAGGTTGTTGAAAGCAGAGAAGTTCACTAGTTTCTTAGTGAATCTTGAACAAGCTTGTGAAAGCGATTGTTCCACATGAGCTAAGAATGAGAATTTTCGTTTTCTAGTGGTATCGAAAGGAGTAGTTGCTTTGAGTGGTTGTTTTTGAGTTATCGGAAGGAGTAGTTCTTTTTGTAGCTATCGAAAGGAGTAGCTCTTTTTGAGTTATCTAAAGGAGTAATTCTTTTTGTAGTTATCTAAAAGAGTAGTTCTTTTTGAGTTATCAAAAGGAGTAGTTCTTTTTGAATTATCTAAAGGAGTGGTTGTTTTTTAGTTATCTAAAGAAGTAGTTGTTTTTGAGTTATCTAAAGTAGTAGTTTTTTTTAGTTATCTAAAAGAGTAGCTCTTTTTGAGTTATCTAAAGGAGTGGTTGTTTTTGAGTTATCTAAAGTAGTAGTTCTTTTTGAGTTATCTAAAGTAGTAGTTCTTTTTGAGCTTCTCAAGTTTCGTCTCCAAAGATTGAAGTTAAATATCCGCAATATATTCAACAACGAAATCTTTCACGGAAAACAATATACGCCATTTAGGCGATCAAATTTCCTTATTAAATCTAGGAAAAGATTTTGTACTTTGTTCAGAGAATTTTATTGTGAAAACTTGAATATTCTAGTGAAACTGAGGGTGGATGGGGAAATGAAAAAATGTTTTTAAAAGAAAAATGAACAAATTTAGGGATTAATAAATGAAATTCCCCAAATTTTCAGCCCTTTTCCCGTATCTTCATTTCGCGCATTTCTCCTCACCGGACTACACCGGGCGAACCGGCGAAGTGACCCAAGTGATCAGGGATTGTGGCGCGTCACCGAATAGTCAATATGGTGATTTGAGAAACTCTAACTATAATGATAACGATAAAATCAACTTTCAGGGTGTTACGATGAGGTTTACACCATTCAAAAAGCGGCCACTTCGACGGAGAATCGCTTGCCCGCGCATCGACACGCCGGCTACATTGTGATCGGTTTCAAGTTGTTGGATGATGCTTCGAAGGTTTTCAAATCGTTTTCAAATATAAAGCTTTCTTCTCTTAAGCTATTTTAGTTCTATTTAGTTCAATACTTGAGTACAAGCCACTGACTTGTCAAGAGCTAGACTTGGGTCTGGGTTTTGAACAGAATCTAGTCGGTTTCTGATTGGGTCTGAAGTCTGATTGGGTCTGAAGTCAGAATCTGGTCAATTTCTAGTGATTTAGCCTGAAATGGGGTCGAATTCTGATCAGAATCTCGTCAATTTCTAGTGATTTGACCTGGATTGCGTCTGAATCCTGATCAGAATCTAGCTAATTCGATTTCTAGTGATTTGATCAGATGCTAAGCCTTAAACAAACAGTCGAGCTCGAAACTGAAATGAAAAGATATTTTTAGAGGTTTTAAAACCTAGATAAAAATCATTCAAAGCTCCAAATTCTAGCCTCAAGCCCTTGAGAAGACTTGGCTACAATGGTCGGGCGCTCGCGAGATCTACAAATACTCACCAAGGAATTGGAATTTACGAAGAATCTCGTTGCTCAGACATCCGAATGTGTGAGTTTTATAGATAAAAAGAAAAGCTAAAAATAAAACTAAACAAAAAAAGAAGAAGAAGAAGAAGAAGAAGAAGAAGAAGAAGAAGAAGAAGAAGATAGAAATCAGGAAGAGCTTTTACAGACATAAATCAAGAAGAGCTTTTACTAGACGAACACATCATTCAGCTTTTTTTTCTTGAAAGAATCAGTGTTTCTTGTTGTTAAAATCACAAGATTTCCAAAAAAAGCGTCAAAAAAACTTTTGGGAAACTTGATTGGAGTGAGGGTGGACCGAAAGAAGGGCGTTTCTTAAAGACTTTTCTTAAAGAAGATCAAAGAAAGGCTGAAGAAAAGCAAGAGCTTAAGAAGTTTGTATAATATTTAAAATAAAGGTAATTGTTTTAAAATAACTTGGTTTTTGAATTGAAAAATTATCGAATCTTGAAAAAAAACAGAAAATTTCCGTGTTCATCCATCACGCGATATTCAAAATTCAAAATTTTTCAAGTTTCCGAGAAGTTTTTGAATTTTTCTTTTAAAAATTCATTCCTTAAGGATTTTTGAAGTGAAAGCTTTAATTTATGAGTTAAAAATGTCAAATGAAATGAGAAATGGATGAATTTTGAGGGGAATTTTGTCGAGAATTGATAAGAAGTGATAAAATATGATTGGAAATCGGAAAAACTTTATTATGACTTTCATTTTTACACTATGAGAATTGAAATGAAAGGTTTAAAAAAAAAGAAAAGAAAATGTTGACCATATAGAGTTGATTTCTCAACCGTTCAGAGATTTGAAACTAAAGATTCCGCTTTGGTTAGAGATTTGAATTTGAAGATTTGAGAGGAAAGAGATTTTTATTAGATTTGTATTTGATTTTTATTTGATTTTTATTTGATTTTTATTTGATTTTTATTACATTTTTATTACATTTTTATTACATTTTTATTAGATTTAAAATCAAATCAAAATTTGAATAAGATTTTAATTCGAAAAAAAAACGACAAAGATTTAACTTCAACTTTGCAGATATCGAAACGGTCAACCCCGTCCGTTTGCATATGTTCTGTTGTGTGAGTACAGCTCGATTCTTCATCCGTCAAACACCGTTCAAGCACTCGACATGTGCGAGAGGATGAGAGTTCGCAATTGTGGACACGTGGCGCTATATCAGGTGAATCATTCGCAAAAGAGTTAACAGTGAGAATGATCAACAGTTCAAGTTGAATCCGATCAAAAGATTCAATCAAGATCCAATCAAAAGATCAAATCAAAAGACCGAATCAAAAGATTCAATCAAAACTTCAGGTCCATACAGCGTACAACTCACTTCCCCAAGTGCCCCTGATTGGACAATCTTCTCCACGAGTCGTTAAAAGAAATCCGATGCTTCGTGGCTTCAGCCAAGACGTAGAATCAACTGAGTCAAGGAGGTGAGCTTCCTTCTCTTCCTTCCTTCTCTTCCTTCCTTCTCTCTCTTCCTTCTCTCTCTTCCTTTCCTTCCTTCTCTTCCTTCCTTCTCTCTCTTCCTTCTCTCTCTTCATTCCCTTCCTTGTATTCCTTCTTTCTTCTCTAAGATACCGGTTAGCTTAGTGGTTAGAGAAGATACCGGATAGTTGTACGGAAAGGAAAAAAAGGTTCAATCTTCTCTCCGGTTTAATCCATTCATTTCTTTACTTTATGCAACTCGCACAATCTTCTCTTCAAGTGTAGCAATGAAATGAAAATTAAAATCAGACAAATTTCAGACAAAAGCTTCGTCCAATGCGCGATCGCAGTTTCGGCTATATGGAAGAAGAGAATTTTGAGAGTTTCCCAGGATCTCTTCAAAAATATGATCATTATGGATCGGCGACAATCAATAGTTTAAGTCCGCATAGCAGATCCCCGCAAACATATGTTGATTGAGTGTCATTGAGGAAACTTTAGCAAAGGTAAAGTAGGTTTTTTTTTTTTGATAGAAAAGCTTTCTATTCTACCACGAAAATTAACTAAAATTTCTGTGATTTCATGTTTTTAATTTCTAAAATAGTTGTAATTTGCTAAAAATTTTAGACATTTTTTCAGTGTGTAATACACTTTAAACTTTTTTTTTTTGTTTCATTCTATTTTTTGTAACCATTTTAATGTTGATCATAATTAAATCTGTTTGATGACTTGTAAATAGATTTGATGATCTTTAGCTATTTTGTTTTTACGATTTGATTAATGAAATGAATTTCGATGTTTCTTCAAGAGAGTAAATATTTTTGATTTATAAAAAGAAATTGAAGTAAATGTAAGTGCTCAAATTTTTGACATTATACAGAAAAAAGAAGAAGAAAACAGGGTCTATCCCAAAACAGAGCCGTACCCAAAACAGAGCCGTACCCAAAACAGCGCCGTACCCAAAATAGCGCCGTACCCAAAATAGCGCCGTACCCAAAACAGCGCCGTACCCAAAACAGCGCACATAGGTAACAAAAATAATCGTCTTTAAATCAAAAATCCGAACACTACAAATTTTAAGTTAGGCCCAAAAATGAACGGAAAAAATAAAATAATCCGAAAACCATCATCCAAAATTTCAGAATTAAAGGCGGCGACTTTGATGTTAGTGAAATTTCATATTTCATCGAACCATCAAGTGTTATATGTCATTCAATAGCTCTTTTTACGCTCTTTCAGAATACTAAATTGAGTTTTTGTGGAATTCTATTTTTCCATGAAATTTTTTCTATATTCTGCGCCGAAAAGTCAAAATAATTTTTTCACGAAAATCTGGCTGATAAACTAGGCTCAAAAAGCAAATTTCTGAATTCTACGCAAAAAGTTGGTCCGGGACTGTTTTTTAATTTTGTGTTTTGGTCAATGGAAACGCGAGCTCTGAAACCTAGGTTTTTAAGAAGTGCACGGTTATATGGCCCACGCGCATCTTTGATGTTGGTAAAATTTTTCTTTTGTGTCAAATCATCAAGTGTTACAATTCCAGGAAAGTTGAAATTGAGAGTATTTGCCAATCTCGGGTAGGCAACCCAGGTGCACAGACAAATACAGACTGCCTTGACAATTACTCGATAAATTACTATGCCAAAACATTTTTTTCAAGAGCGTTTATGGAGCTATTCAGGTTTTTAATTATAAAAGGTTAATACGATTGTGTTTTAGAAAAAGAACTTACCTGATGTATCCCAGGATCCTATTAACAAAATCTTCGTTCAAGGATTAATGGTTCTCACTTATGATGTTTCAGAGTCGCTTGGACTATTAATTAATACGATTGTGTTTTAGAAAAAGAACTTTTCTGATGTATGCCAGGACTTGGATTATTAATTTGATGCTATTTTGATGTTTTTTATGCATCGTTTAATTGTTGGTCATGTTATTTTTAAATAAATTATCAAAATTAAAAGCTGCTAATAAAAAAAATGAATTGTACATTGTAAAAGAGAAAAAAAACTCTGTTTTGCGTCGGCGTTTTGGGCGTTTTTTTCATTGGCGCTGTTTTGGTGGGCGCTGTTTCGGGCGTTTCTTTCATTGGCGCTGTTTTGGTGGGCGCTGTTTCGGGCGTTTTTCTTGGGGCCGTGGTGGGGCTTTGGTGGGGGGGGTTTTTTGGGGGTGGTGTGGTGGGCGCTGTTCCGGGCGTTTTTTCATTGGCGCTGTTTTGGTTACGGCGCTATTTTGGGATAGACCCAAAAAACAGCTTCAACATTCTTTATTCAAAAGGATTTTTCTTAGAAAATCATGGAAATTGAATTTTTCCCTGAAATTTTCACCGGATTAGCAGGTTTTTTTCCTTTCGTTACCCAGCTAGGATTCACTGAACTACTTTTTGAATGGATGATCTCTTTCACTTCAATCACATTTCAATCACATCTCCCTCAATGTTTCTTTTTTTTAAATAACCACAAATTTTGATCTATGAAGATATGAAACTTCTTGCTTTAACTCTTGCTTCAATAATAATATTTTTAGTATAATTCAAATCCTCGACAATCTCTAGATCTTTGAAAAGGCTTAGAGTTAAGAATCCAACTTAAAATATAGCTCTAGGGAAAATCCAAAGACAAGATCTCTTATTGTTGACACTTAAGAGTAAATCTCTAGCCAAGAGAAATTCACCGAGATATCGCTGAAGGGTAAATCGATTCCTTTTCAAGTATTTCACATTTCCCTAAGGCTAAATTCAAGAGAACTTTCGGAGAAATGCGAGAATTTTCGATTGACACAATGAGAGATCATCCAACACCTGTCGACGGGAAATCGGTGAAAGGCGAAGACCGTTCAGAAACGGGAAATTGCTATTGGCAAATGTCGATGAGGAGATTGGCATTTGAAAAGAAAAGAAGATTTTGAAAAAGAGAATCTGAGAAGAAAAAAGAAGAAAAAAAAGAAGAAAAAACTCTTTTATAGAGGTGGAAGATCTCATTAATAGACCAGGTTTTTCCCTAAGAAATCGTCGTGTGAAATCTCGACACAAAAAACGAATGTTGTCTAGACTTTTTGGGTGGTCTTCCCTTTGAAAAGCTACAAAAGTCTAACGGAAATTTCAATTTAAATATAGCAATAATATCGTAATGATTGTTAATAAAAGGTTTAGCATTTCATTGTAATAACACTTGTAGATTGGATCGTCATTTATCATTCTTACGTCGTAACAGTAAGATGACTTTCTGTAAGATGTAAGATGTAAGAAGTAAGATGACCTGGAAATACCTTTGATCGTAAGCTAAACCAACTGTTTGGCCTACGATCAAAGCTATTTCCAGGTACAAGTGAAAGCAATAGCTAAGGAGATACTGAGATTCGGTTTTGAGGTTATCTTGCTAACTTGCAATTCTCAAAATTCATCGATCTAGTGCTGGGTTAAAGAAATAGCTACTTAAAAGGTCAAAAAGTTAGGATCTAACTTAAAAAAGATCAAAACAGTGAAAGAATGCTTTTAGTAAGGCATAAGACGTTACCCTGACAGCAGTGACGCACATGTCAGTGTAGTTCAGTGGTAGAGCGCTCGCCTGATAACCGAGAACCCAACAAGCTAGTGCGGATTCGGTAGGTAAATTCGGTAGGTATTAAGCAATATAGGTAAATTGAATTCAATTTGAAAAGAAAACGAGAAAAGTCTAGCGATTTGACCCTTTGGTTTAAGATAATTTGCTCAGATGTTACCTTAAAATCTTCGATCGCTTATTTCTCTTTTGTGAGCGCTGAGAATTTTTTTATCTTTGGCGAATTTCTTAGCTGGAGTGCACCCAAAAGTTTACAGGATTCAGACTTTTGATCTGTCTTTATCGCATTTTTACTTAGGAACTTGCCCGTAGTGCGGTGGTGGGCAATGCTGTCGCAATGGCGGTGGGCAATGCTGTGGCAATGGCGGTGGGCAATGCTGTGGCAATGGCGGTGGGCAATGCTGTCGCAATGGCGGTGGGCAATGCTGTCGCAATGGCGGTGGGCAATGCTGTCGCAATGGCGGTGGGCAATGCTGTGGCAATGGCGGTGGGCAATGCTTTGTATTCCTTTCTCCAATCTATCCAACTTTTTTGATTTATCTTTAAGACGAGGATTCTAGGATATTTTCGCATAAAACTCTAGACATCTTTTTGCTTGTTTTTCCCAATATTGGTACCAATGTTGTTGTGGAAAAGAGGAGTGATTCACGAGATTGCTTTGCCCTTTGGTTGGTACCATTTTTTTTTTGGACAAAGTGAATACGATACATGCATGCAAATTTCGCCGATTCATCATTGAGAAATGATGTCAGATCGGTTTTGAAAATGAGATAGCAAAAAAGTGTCACAAATGGCATCATGATGCATCACTTTTTTTTTGATCCCTAGAAATCCGTTTCCTGAAAATGCGGCCAACAAAATGGATCTAAAGAAGGAAAAATTTTGAACAGTTTTCAACAGTTTTCCCGCCATTTCCTTTCAGCTTTTAGCAATAAGATTTTTTGTTTCTTTGACTTGAAAAGGTGGAAAAAGAGACGTTATCTTTCATTTCAAAAAAGGCGGACACATTTTGGCGCCCAATCGCCCAACCTTTTTTCTTCTTCTTTGCTGTTAAATGAATCGAAAAATAAATGAGCAAACGTTTTTGTGATTTCTTCTGATTTCATTCACTGAAAGTTTCCCGCCAAAAATAATGGAGAAATTTCAATGAGAAGGGAGTTAAAAAGGGAGTTAAAAGGGCGCTAAAAATCCGGATGAGATGGAGAGATACGGACACCGGAAAAGGTCTAAACTTTTCACAAATGCTTAAATGCTTTTTTGCTTAAATTTCTTCTAACCCTTAATCAATCATTCCATTAGCTAGCTCGAGTTTTATTCTCAAATCAACTCCAAGAAGTGTTTCTCTAATACACTAATACACGTAACTAATACATGAAGTGTATCCAGCAATGAAGGTAGAAGGCTTGTCTTGACCTTGCTCATAATCTTTTAGCAAAAAAAGCTTTTCCCTATGCTTTGTGCTTTGCACTTAGATGGAGAAAAAAAAAACACTCTTTCTGATACAGTAGACCGATGCATTTGTTTCTTTTTTTTTGAGCTACTTTTAAGCTTTTAAAAATCCGGATGAGATAGAGAGATACGGACATCGGAAAAGGTCAAAACTCACAAATTTTGTTTGCCTAAATTTCTTCTAACTTTTAATCAATCATTCCATTAGCTAACTCGAGTTTTATTCTCAAATCAACTCCAAGAATTCTTTTCCCCAATACACTAATACACGTAACTAATACAAGAATTGTATTCCCTTGCACCAGCAATGAAGGTAGAAGGCTTTGTTGACTTTGTTCGACGTAATCTTTTAGCAAAAAAAAAGCTTTTCCTTATGCTTTGTGCTTTGCACTTAGATGGAGAAAAAAAAACAAAAAACAACACTCTTTCTGATACAGTAGACCGATGTATTTGTTTCTTTTTTTGAGT